CTAAATCATTTGTAAGAGAATGTCTCTCTGTTTGTTAAGCTACTTGACTCTCATGTGTCATTGAGACATAAGAAGCTGCTAAAGCTCAAAGGGATGAACAATTGGTCTATTGACACAACAGACTTTAATTTGGATCATTTGCCACGTTGTCATAGCAACATGTCTCAAAAACACAGTTTGCCCACTGCTTTTCGGTTTGATTTGTGAAAAATCTAAGATGAAAGTAAAGCAAATTAAATAACACTATTTAGTTCTTAACAGGTCCACCAGATCTTTCGCACAAATTTATTGAACTGCTGTTCCAACGTACGATTTACACCGACATTATCAATACATGTCGCAGATTTAGATGTGACAAGTTCAGTATAAAGGATATTTTTGATTCTGCAGGGCAATAATCAGGCATACATATAATTTGTTCGTCATTTAACAAGGAGAGGGAATTTCTTTTCATCCTTTGAAGCCAGGTTGGTTTGGGATATTCAATAAGAAATCAGTTTTTAAACTGATTTCTTATTCATTCAGAGCTTGTCTGAGATAGCATGAGGTAACCTGTCAAACATATGTCTGATGCTATTGATATAAAACATTTATGTGGAGCAAAAAAAACAAAAACAATCTTTTTGTGTATTTTTTTTAATCTTCACAAAAGCGCACAAGCATCGTCCCAAATGTTTAAAGAGACACTCAAAGATCAAGCGATATAAACTCCAACATGAAGCAGATTTTCATGTGAAATCATCTTTTGAAGATTTTGTTTTGCGTGTATGAAACCTCTAGACATAAAATGAGCGCATCGACATGGATTAACATCAAGATATCGCTGCTTCTTTTTTTCTCCACTTAAGGGAACTTAAATTTACATTAGCTGTTCTTGTTTGTCATTGTTTTAATTAATTTATTTATCTTTTACTTTTCTTGGATAAAAAGCTTACGTGTTTGTGAGACAGCAAAAGCCCCAGTGTTGGAGAGCAGGTGCTGCTAGCTAGCAAGGCTCTGTCATTAACTAGAAACGCACTGATTTGTGTACTTGTTGTTGTTTATGCAACTTTAATGATAAAAGTAAATGGAGAGTCCCAAACTTTTAGGGAAGAGAATCAGACCATGAATGCAGAATGCAGCAAACCACCGTCTCCAGAGCTCAGACTTCACTTAGCTTTGGCTGGAGCTGACAGCTTAAATTCCCAGATACAATTCTCTCTCTGGCAGCACACTCGAGTGGAAATGGGGGAAAAATACGTTTAATGATTTTTCGTCTCTTAAGTTGAAAGACTAGTTAACCCAAAAGTGAAACTATAAAGCGGCAGAATGATGGAGGTTTTCATTATTCACAAAGCAGCTGCTCGCATAAAGGAATTGCTTTTTGTCCAAAGCTCATAAAAAATGGTCATGAGGTTATTTTTCCTGAAGCACAGTATTATTGTGGGATATTTCTCAGACCATACAAAGAGTGTGTTTAAAAGAAAAAAAAAAAACAACAACACAGGGAATAGATTTGTCAGATGTATTAATGGAGGCTGTTCGGCAACATTCCTTTGTTGTATAAAATATCAGTCGTTTAAAGGCCTTTTAAGGAAAATACTCCAACACTAAAGAAGGGAAAGGGGATTATTTTTCCCTCATTAGGCCAATTTAAGAAGTCCAACTGAAAAAAAATCTGTAGAAACACAGAAACACCCATTCAACAAGACTTAGGGCTTATTTTTGTCTTACATATTTACTTTTTTTTTTGTCCTCTACTTTTGCAAGGGGGAAAAAAAAAAGTAAGAGCTAAAATACAATTATGGTCCGCTGGTGTATGTTATGTGGGTGGCTTATTGCACCGGTTAGCACTGTCACCACAGAGCAGGAAGGTTTATAGTTCAAACCTTGCCTGAGGCCTTTTACGTATAGCATTTGCATATTCTCTTTTAGCCTGCGTGGGTTTCTACAGGACTCCAAAGACCAGATAGATGCATGGTAGGTTAATGCTTATAAACTCTTACAAGTATAAAAGTTCACCGTTGCATAATGGACTGGGAACTTGTTCAAAGTGTGCCTTAACTGGAATTAGAAGGAGCAACCACCTGGTCTTTCCCAAATCAACCAACATCACTATAAATAAGGGGTAAATTAGATTTTATCTTCTGTAAACACCATCAATTTGTTTAATTATAAACCATTAAATTAAAACTGAGTGTTTTTTTTTCTGTGCAGGCAGCAGAGAAAGCATTTTTAAAAGTCATTTTTTTCTCTACCATTGTCTTCGACTTCTGTGACTTTAATGTGGTTTATGTATTGTTGAGAAAGTTTGAAATGGAATCAAACACTTGATGATCCAGATTTCTTAGATATAGAAAAACGTATATATATCCAGGTGTTTCTCATAAAGTTCTGTTATAAAACTGTCATTTGATTTAAGATTTCCTAATGCATTGAGAGTCTGGGTTCTTTCTTTAATATATATATATATATATATATATATATATATATATATATATATATATATATATATATATATATATATATATATATATATATATATATATAAACAAATCTGTAATAATGAAATGCATTCATATTTTATTAAAGCTGGCATTGAAAAGTGTAACTTTAATAACTTTTATATTGATTTTGGATTGGTTGGCTGTGTAAATGTTTTATGTTGCCATTTATAGGTTTAACTTTCCTCTGTATTTTGTCTGAATGTCAAGATGACTTTCATAGCCTTCACTAACTGTGTAACATGAGAATTAAACCTTATTTTTACTTTGTAACTGTATTTACTTCCAATATCCTGTCTATGATTTAGGCAAATAAATACAAGGTGTCAAAGAACATGCAAAATACACATTCTGGAATCTGAAATGCTTACTTCAGATAACATCATAGTTGACCTTTCACCACATTTAACTGTACCCCCATTGCCAATTAAAAATGTCCTTGCTCGGCCTTTTAGATCTATTCATAACAGCCTATTATCCTGATGGCCTCCCTGAATCTGAAAAAATATCATTGTTTTCATGACCTTGAGGAGTTATGCTTCAACGTTTTGTCCGAAAGCCTGCTAATCCAGTTGGACCAAATACACTGTACTGCACAAAAAAATGCATACCCTTCTTTTCTTGCTCTCTGACATCAGACACAACACTTATTTTATATAAATTGGGATTAACAAAACTATTTCTAACTCCTAAATGCCAGAATAAGATAATTTGCTTTGTGCATCTTTAACAATTTCTTGAAAGTAGGGAACATTAGGTGGACGTATAGCAACATTTCACCCCATAGTCTACTGGTTTGTTGCTGCACCCCAATTGTCCCGCTCCACTTCGCGTCACTGCTGCTGACAGTCACAGTTCTGCTCTGTAGGGATGAATCGGGGAAGTTTTATTATTATCTGATGCCCGGAATTGCAAAGGAAGGAGAGGAGAAACAGAGGTACAGTAAAACTAATGAGATGAAATGGCCTGTTACCTTAGTTACTTAGCAGACTGTAGCATGCACTTGCTAAATTGATGTAGAACGGTGCAGCTATGCTTGCTAGCCGAAAACAGAGCAAAACAATAAGTAATCTTGCTAGTGCCAACATTGCTTACTTGGTTGCTCATTTCTTTGTTGTTCAGTGGGTGTTAGTACTGCAATTTCCCTGCTTAGTTCATGTCTGTCCTCACAGTTTTATGTTATTGGCCTAGTTGTTTGTTGTTACCAGGAGTGGAAAGTAACTAGTCAATTCAGTCCCTTGATTAAAAAAAAAGTAAAAGTTCAGGTTTTGTAAACATTTTTAAAAAGCACAACACAGTGCAGACATGGTGTACTTAGAAATCCTAACGCTTCTGTGTTTTATTTATTTTTCTCACAGTTTTGTCGTTCATATTTCAGACAGATGAGCTTATGAGAAATTAACTTTCATTACTTAACGAAGTTTGGGCTCCACTGCAGATACCATTTCTTGTCCCTGTCATCATTAAAGAGGAGCCGTGTTGAAAAAAGACCAGGGGTCACGACTTCAGATTCCCGGCTCCGATTTATAGCGGCCTGCTGTCCCGGGATTTGAATTGTAGTTCTTTGAAGACCAACTTAAATCATTTAAATGAGTTCAGCGTATCATCGCCAACTCGGCCTCGCTGATGTCACAGCCAGGTCCCCCCCCTCCAAATATATTCTATTGTTGTAACCATTGATCGCCTGATGCATTTATTTTTAACGAGGCAGGACCCCTCTTTGCTGCTCAGAGGCAATCAAAACCCACATATGGGATCTGCTGTGACAGTCTCATGGCTCCATAGGATGGAGGAAAAACTATTCTCCAATAAAATACCAAAAGGAGAATATTCTCTGGTATAGCCAGAGCTATATCTGGGGTTCAAGGTGACACTTATTAAATGTAGAGCGTCTAAGACAAATCCTTGATGTCTTCACCTTCTTTAAAATATGAAGAATTAATTGTGGGTTACTAAGTAGATCTCTATCCACAGCCCACGTCTTCCAGCGAAGGACAGTGTTGCTTAAGTCAAGGCTTCAAAGCAGGTTTTCATTACAAATGGCTGTTTGGTTGAAACGACGCATGTGAGGGGAGGGGTGGGGGGAAGGGAATCAACTTTTTTGAATGTACATAGCTGAACATAGACAACAACATCGGTAGCCTGCAGGCTACTTGTTAAGCTTAAGGTGCTGTATTGATATTAGCTAGCAGCTCAGGGGTGGGCAACTCCAGGCCTCGAGGGCCGGTCTCCTGCAACTTTTAGATGTGTCTCAACTTCAACACACCTGAGTCAAATAATGAGGTCGTTAGCAGGACTCTGGAGAACCTGACTGCACTTAGGAGGTGATTCAGCTGTTGGATTCAAGTGTGTTAGACCAGGGAGACATCGAAGAGTTGCAGGACACCGGCCCTCGAGGACCAGGATTGCCCACCCCTGAGCTAGCTAGTCATCTTTTAGCTAACATTACCTGCATCCAACAGCTTTACTCAACTCAGTCGGTTAGGTTGGAGGGAAAACTGTGAAAAGTTGCAAAACCAGCCAAACACACCTGTGTATCTCTGCCCAGCAGCAGCAGGTCTCCTTCACTGCCGCACAGGTGTAAACCCAGCGCGAGTGTCGTAGTGTTGCGGCTCGGAAAAACAGGTTTCCACATGTTAACAACGGATTAAACAGTTTTCACTGCTGATGAAAGTGACAGAGGACACAGATATGGGAAGTGTAGCCCCTACTGTATCAAACTGGCATAGGAATAACAGAGAGTTGGCCATTCTAAGGTAAAAACCCAGCACATACAGCGTTCATGTGTTTTTTTTCAACACACTTTAAGTGTGTGCAAAACAACACACTTTAAAATAAACTCAAAAGGAGAGGAGAGCCGTTTCCTAGAGAGAGTAAAAAGACAAGCAGAATAACAATGAGTGACGCAAAGCATTTTTTTCAATGCTTTGCGTCACACCACCCAAGATAGATTCCTCATTGGATAAAAATGCATCTTTGCTGCACATCCATCAGGATTGTGGATATCATGCTGCAAAGCAAATAAGCAAGCCACTGTAATGATGCTAAATACTAGACGGACCGGATTATCTGACCATTTTAAGTCAGGAATAAGGAAAAAAAACGGATGATGTAGCGTTTCCAAGCATGGGCTGCTTATGATTTTCAATTGGTTTTTCACAGGGGACTTTAACAGTGGAAGATCTTAAATGTCTTTCGAGGCAAAAATACGGTTCACACTTCTGAAGACTCACTGAGTTGTTTTGCGGCGTCTTGTATGGATAACATGTGTTTGGAAGAACTTGAAAGAAACCAAAGTTTTACCTTCCTCCGTGAGCATAAATAAATCCATCATCTTCGCTTACAAGCAGAGTCAGAAGGACTGATTCCCTGTTTGTTTCATTTAATATTTCATTGAATGGACCAGCTGCTATTGCACGAGGATGTGATGTGTTACAGGGTTGTTGATGCCACCCTTGCATAACTCACTGAAGCCATTGAATTTGTATCATGTTACTCTTGTTGACAGCTGTACACTTAAATCTTTATGAGCTCAATTCATGTCTTATTCATCCTTAAAGGGTTCTATTAAAGCCACCTGGAATCCTACAAGCTAACTTTCTTGTGATCTACTTAAGCTGCTGTTTTGCAAACATCTTAAAGCCTCAAACAAAAGAAATTTGAGCTTAAGACTTCCTTTTGTACATCGAAACATGACAATGACAACGGCTTTGATCAGGAGTTGAGCAAAGTGCTATGAAAGAGACAATTATTTTTGTTTTGTAGGACTATTTTTTTTCTCCCCCCCGTCTTCAAAAAGGATCTCCATGTAGAACAACCCAGACAGCATTTCTTTTTGTTGCTTAAGCACACCCATGTGAATGTTATATTTTATTTATGGAGTCTGAAAAGTATGCCAGGAGAAGGCTCGGCTCCCAAAGTTAGACTTCAAAATAGTGGATGGCGCTCATAAAAGTTTCAGCTCCCCTCAGAGTGGAGAGTTCAGACGTGTTGTCTTTAATTATTTTATTTTGCATTGAAAATCTGAGAACATTCAGTGGATGTCTGAAAAATGGGAAAGTTACTTAGTGGATGGTGGGGCAGCATGTAGTGGACCTTCACAGGCTTTATTCATAAAGCTTATGATAAGGCTCTCAGTTCTCCAGTGCCTGCCTGACTGTCCTTGGTTGCATCCCCATGCATAGTTAACTATTTCACTCTGAAACCTTCCATAGACAACTTACTAAGCAAAGAAGAAAGGTGCCACATTTCTGTTACAAAGTTTTTTTGTTGTTTTTTTTTTTACCAACAAAATTGCATTAATTAAATGAATTTAATTAATAACACACTCCTTTTACCTTAAAGAACTTTATTTTTGGAACTAGTGCAGGGCGGATAAATAGAGAGGGGGAAGACAAGCTGCAAATAGTGGTAGCCACTGCACACAGTGCACACACTCCACCAAAAAGAGTCACCCAGCTCCCCCAAGACGCTTCTTTTTTCCATAATTACTTCAAATCACTTCGCTGGTCACGTCCTATGAACAGAAAATAACAGGAATACAACGTTAATGGCAGCAACAACTCTTTTAGGGTCTGTATCGCGAAAGGAGTCGCAGCTGAGCACAGAAGCACCAAGCCAGTAGTACTTTCTGTTGGACAGAAAAACAGAGGAGATGCAGATTATGACAGCAATAGTGCCAGCTATGAACCCCTCTAGGAGCGACAAATAGCTACACACAGAAACACAGAGCCAGGCACGAATGAAACACAAAGGTAATGGCAGTTTTAGCTCCATCAGTGACCCAATCCAGGAAAGAGACTCAGCTAAACCTAAGTGTAGTTAATTTGCAGCAATGATCATGCATGCATAAAAAGCAGTGTGTTTGTGGGGGGGGAAACAAAGTCAGAAAAATTCGCCATTAAATTCTCCAGTCGATTAATGGCACAGCTGCAAACTTGTAGATATAAGTAGAGATCAGAATTAATATTTATACCATGAATATTAAACAATGTGGTAGCATCAGTCTAGTGAACTTCCTTATTACCAGGAACCTTCTCCCAGAATCCATAGCTGGGATTCCAACATTATTTTCAGTGCTGTCACAGCAGTAATGTTGAGAGCTGCTACTGAACACCGAGTCTCCAGTGTTAGATGTTTGCACCTAATTTGTGGTCTTTCTTACACACTTTTACAACAAAGACGTGAAGCTGAATAATGATGATGTCATGCAGGTGAATCAAGTAACAGTGTTTCCACTCTCGCCCCAACACCAAATGCAGAAACTTCCACAAATAGAAGGTTGATTATCGTCACAATGTGACGCCTTACACACATTAATGTAGAGCCACACAGGATTTGCGACTACATTCTTTTTTGCCTTGACAACTCTTTTTATTTTTTTTTTCTTCCTCACATCTCTTACAACTAAAATGAGGATGCTGCAAGTCTTTGTGTGTGCATTTCACTGAGGCAAATCTCGTGGGACAAGCAGGATGGTGTGCTGTGACAGTCGAGCCTGGGACATCGAAGTCTCACACTCCTCTTTTCGTCTTCTGTCTTTTTTCTTCTTCATCGGTTGCTGAGAATAGGATGAATCTTCCCAATTAGCAGCTTTCTGAAGAGGTGTTGTCACACCCTGGGAGTACGTTCTTACAGTTGTTCAAGCTCATCTGAAGTCACTGTGAGAATGTAGCAAAAATCATAACATCCCTGATAATAATCCAGAAAAAAAGTTTATGAAACATTGTGATGATTGATTGGGCAGGTTTGGGATGAAAGCTGGTCTAATCCCAGCAGTACTTCCGTCCAAGCTGCTTTCGCTCACCTGGGAAATTGCTGTCTGCCGCTAGATAATATGCACCAATTGCAAATTACGACTTCCCATTGTTGTCTGGTGGGAGACCTGCACATATTTTTCAAAAGCAGGAAGATGAAAGAATGGTTGGAAATGTGGTGACTTCATTTATTATCATCATCATCTGACAGTATAGTGAACAAAGTGTGAATGAAAAGCACGTTTTTTTTGTGTTTTTTTTTTCACACACTGCCAACAAACTTCCTGTATAGTCTATTTTCTAAAAAATATATGCTCATCATTTTGCTAACAAAACAGCAACTCTATGCACCTAAACGAAAAAGAAATTATGGACCAGCTGTTTCCTTTATGGGTGAGCATTTGTTTGAGACAGATTTTCTATTTAAAAAGTGTATTATTTTTACGATCATGGTGATGAAGTCATTACGGAAAATCTCTTAGTCTGCTATTTCATAGTTTAGTTTAGTAAAGTAAGAGCTATGAGACAGTGGGAAGTAAGACAAAAGATTATGTGCTCAGTAAAAAAAAAAGAAAGAAAACAGTGTTGTCCATCTCATGTCGAAGATGAAAATAAGACATTAGGGGAAACTAATGAAGCTGTGATATATTGTATATTTTATGCACCTGCTGTTTGCTTGGTTTCTGCATGACACAAAGCAGATTGCAGTTAATTTGGCCTGTGCATATCCCACAATCAAAAGGAATTGGTTCTTAAATACATCATTTTAACACAGTCAGGTTGAATTCTACCTACTGAAACATCTTTGACTAATTTGTGTGCGATGAATATAGTGATTTTCTTGTGCACCATCACAACACACTTTCATCAGATGGTATATCTTCTATGCAATCAGTGTTGTTCAAACTCAACGTGTGTAAACTCAAGTTTAGTCACATTTAGCTCTGCTAATGGTTTGGCAAATTTGCCTGAATGATTCTAATCCTAATTGAGTTTCATAATCTAGACGGAAGATAACTCATTTTTGAAAATGTAGGGGTGCGGGTTTGTTATTATGCATAGTTTTACATCTACGCTACATGTAAACAGGAGCAATGTCAGTAAGATTTGATATTAGTATATACTTACAACAGTTCTTTTTAATTCATGTAAAGCGCACACAGATATATTTATTGTGTTGCGAGTTTATCAGGGGTGGAAAAAATTAGTATCGTCACCGATCTAGCCAAACATGATTAAGAAGCTGGGGGGCATGTCCACTGAGGCTGCTGATTAACAGCTCTCATGCCTGCTCAAATGAGGCATGCTAAGTGGGCAAACAGAGCAAAGTATCTTGTTAACTGAACCAATCAGGTTGGTGTTAAAACACAAAAGCACTCGAATGATTTTATCTGAGAACGATGGAGAAATTCACAACTAAATAAATTACTGACGCATTAATAAAACTGTGGTTTAGGCTCTGTAATGGTATCTCCCCCCCCCCCCCCCCCACACACACACACACACACACA